CGTCATATTTTTCAATTGCTCTTAAAATGCTGTTGGCTTTCAGTTGCAGCCATCATTGAAATCTTCTTTTTCCTTTTCCTACAAGTGGTTTCATAGGCACTGTATTATTACTTCCAACCTTAGATACAAAATACAGCTTAATCAGGCACTGTTATCGAATGCACGTTACATATATGGTAGGTAAAACACTAAACATGATTAAAGCGGAAAATACTTCCAACTTTAGATATAAAATCCAGCTTAAAATGATCTTATTTCCCTCCCCTATACTATAACCTAAAAAGAAAAAGGGAGACGTGAGTACTTCTATAATAACATACTTATTAGTTAGACCTGTTTCATGTAAGTGTTATGCCCTAGACCCAATCTATTTAGGTTATAAACACTTTTCATATGTTTAATGCATTTAATTATGGCAAGATCTATTATTTATTTATATTGCTTTTCTATTGAAATTATATTAAATAATAGAATNTCATATTTTTCAATTGCTCTTAAGAATGCTGTTGGCTTTCAGTTGCAGCCATCATTGAAATCTTCTTTTTCCTTTTCCTACAAGTGGTTTCATAGGCACTGTATTATTACTTCCAACTTTAGATACAAAATACAGCTTAATTAGGCACTGTTATCGAATGCACGTTACATATATGGTAGGTAAAACACTAAACATGATTAAAGCGGAAAATACTTTCAACTTTAGATATAAAATCCAGCTTAAAATGATCTTATTTCCCTCCCCTATACTATAACCTAAAAAGAAAAAGGGAGACGTGAGTACTTCTATAATAACATACTTATACGTTAGACCTGTTTCACATCCCTCAAACTTCAGCTAATCACTTTTCCCACAAATTGCACCTCAGACAATAACATTGGTCTTATTTTTGTTGAAAGAGGTTATTCAGCCAAGATTGATTCTATTGAGGCTACTCTCCTGATTCATGTCAAAACTAGTGTCAGTTACTTCTAAGTTAGACTGCTTGGAAACGGAATATGACTATATTTTCTGACATTATTGTTCAAGGATGCTGGGAATCTGTCTATACCAACTTAATGTGTACTCCAGAGTGAAATTTAAGATAAAGAAAGGGAGTAGTATAAACAAAAACCTCTCATGTTCTCTGAATCCTGGTAAATTTATGTAAAGAAAGCAATAAAATTTCTACTACCACGAGCTAATACGTTGGTGATTTTGGAGGCAAACCCTCTTGCGATGTTCTGAAAATGCACAAAATCGTTTTAGCAGTTGCGTATTGTTGAAAATTAGAAAAGGAGGCTGAAACACAAACAAAAGGGGAGGCAAAACCGGAAATGGAGGGCTTGAAACATTTAAAGGGAACTCTTTCCTTAAAACAATATATGCACCCTCTTGGTTTGAAATTGCTAACTGGCTTCTACAACAAATAATTTCAAGGATATGACAAGCTTTAGGCAAATATGCAAACTCACTTAAGCGAACAAGAATACGTTGAAGTGTGAATGGCTTGCTTATAGTGCTTGCTCATACAATCTCTTAGGGTCCGTTTGATTACAAGGGTGAAAGATGGGTGGAAAGGAAATGTTTTACTGGGAATTGATTTTCTTAGAAAATATTTTACTGAGAATTGTAATTAATTGTATTTGATTGGTATAATTTTCCATGGAAAATGTTTAAAACTTGGTGTCCATTTAACTTCGTTTTTTATGAAATTTGTCTATTAAAGTGATAATTTTTTCTACTACTGAGTCTAAAATTTGTTCTCATTGTCAAAAAAAAATT